ACATTCTTCGAAATTTGCACAGCTTTCGAATGGGCGTGCAGTTTGACGTTTCCTCAACGATAAGCTATCCGTATTCCCATCGTTAACTGTCCCACGAATTCTAGTGCTATCGTTGTCGTAATCATCATGCATTTGTACGCAAACGCCATTTTCAAGAAAGCATCCTTGACGACATCTACACCAATTATACTCACATATCGAATTACCGATACACATTTGATTTTGACCGCAGTATTCCCCAGGCATTGCAACTTGTGGATAATCAGTTTTCATTATTCCATTGTATGGTGATCTTGTCCTGTTTTTCATCGATCTGTAACTTGCCGGTGATGCTCGAAAGGTGCGAAAAGGAAACGCTCTTCTATTGAAATAGTAAGATGGAGGCACAGACCCAGCATAATAGGATGGATCAGTATTCGATGCATAAAATTGTGAGTTCATGTTTCCGGGGAATAACAATTCCGAAGAGGGTATTAGTTGTGGTGAGATGATTTGAGCTGGTGCTGTCATCGAGATCAGTGGCATAAGAGGTGAGGACTGCATAGGTATCGAAACCTGAGGCTGCATTGGCATCATCGGAGGTACAAAAGATCCAAAAGGTATTTGCTGTGTTGCCGGGTTGATTGATGATGGAGGAGATTGTGATAAAGGGTCAATAGGCATTTGAGAAAAAAGATCAGATGGATTCGATGAAAACATCTCAGCTTCTTGATCGGCAAGAATATTGACCACTTCTGATGGTGACTGCCACGACGATCCCGTCGAAACGGCACTTTGAGGAAAGTTCTTATGAGTCGGATAAATTGGACGATGCTTTTCGAGAGAAGATGGATGAGCAAAATTCAACGATCTGATATTATCATCAATTGAATTATGCATCAGTGGTGATTCATATCTGTCTAATATCAAATTCTGGTGAACTCGATTTTTGAAGTCATTCGCGTTATCATTATTATCAAATCTACGTCGGTGTAACCATTTTTGATTCAATTTATACTTGTATTCGTTTGCTAAATTCTGCAGATCCTTTCGAAGTGGTCTTTCCAGATTCGACCTCTCCAAAATATCATTCGGCATTTCCAGATTATCGTAGTCAGGATTTTGGAATGAAAACATTGGGAAAAGTTGATTAGACAGCGGNTGACGAAAAAGTTATCTGCTGAGACAGAGATTTGAGTACACAACATTCTCCGTTCCAGAAATAGTCAGCTTTGCAAAGACAATAACCGTTATCACAATATGATGTAGAATCACAGTTAGCACTTGTTATGCATACAGGACCCAGTGGTTCTACGGCTGACTGACACTGATTCTGAATTGTTGCCGTTCCACCGGGACATTCACAAACACCACTTGTCTTGCCACAATATGAATCATAACCACAAAAACGACCTGACGAACAATCCTCACCTGGTCGTGCACCTTTATCAAGCACGCAAACACCATCCTCTTCTAAATATCCTCGCTTACACAAACAGCTACCTTGTTTACAGTACGCATTCTCTTCACATTGCATGTCAGCAACGCAATCCACGTGTAACGCAACAGCTTGTGGATGACATTTTCCTTCTAGTGGAATATATCCATTCAGACAAACGCAAACATTATTTTGACAAAATGCACCATTTGAGCAATAACCTTGAACTGTACAGCCTTCGCCTGGAACACCTGTCGTAAAACTGAACGAGAACGGAATCTGTGTGCTGCTGGGAAAATTGATGGGAATGTTGTTTGCAAAGTTGGCAACTGACTGAAGCTCATAAGGCGCAGGTAATATCGACACAAAAAGAGGTTGCGATGTCGTTGATANCAATGAAAACGATGGCTGAACGTTGTTGTGTTGCGATGGATTATTGGGATAAAACCCATTCGTAGTCTGATAGGTATCACTTGGTTTTATGCAGTTTACATTGCTGCACATACTTTTGTCAGTACAAATATATGTCGCACAAATATTATCTGCTATTTTTGTGCCAAATACAGCTCTGACAACATCTTTATCGAACACCGCTACTGTCGTATGACTTGCATTCGAATGTTGATTACTAGTTCGACTAAGCAGTATATTTTCTTTGCTGGATTCAACGTTTATTCCATTTGGTTGCCTCGGTACACTGTTATAGCTGACATAACTAGATGGCATTTGTCTGGTTGAAGGATAATCTGATGAAGTTATCAGCGGTCCAGCTGGTAGGATGCACTGACCAGTGTGATCTATCACCTCAACTGCACTGCACTCGCATATCCGTCCGGTACACTTTGATCCACCGGTACAGACCTGACCTTCGGCACAACTTTGTCCTGGTTTCGAGGCTTTCTCGCTCATTGCTGATACGCATTCGTATCCATTACTGACCAAACCACCCGTACACATACACACCCCATAAATGCAGTAGGATTCACCGATACAGTCAAGGCCTTTCCAAGGATCACAGTGGCCATCTGGAGATACCCCGTAGAACGCTTTACGACATTGTTCTCCACTGAGCGTTTCACCACGTCTGCAACGACAAACACCACGAAGACATTCGGTTCGAAACGGACAGTCAACGGTGAGTCGACACAGCGAAGCAGCGGTACGACGGTCGATTACTGGTGAATCTGATGACTGTGTAGAAGCANGCAGCTTTGTCCCGGAGCCGACTTAACAACCTTCTTGATTACTTCAGTGGCTTTGCTTTGCGATCCAACGCATTCATCATTGATAATCATTTCACCGTCACTGCACACACAAAATCCTGATATGCACTTGGAATTACCCATACACGTCTCGCCATCCATACACATCTGTCCCGGTTTCACACTTATGCCTCCTATGGACCTATTTCGGGACGCTGCCAGCGAATTTGCTAGCGATCGGGTCGGTTTTGCCGAGGCAGAGATGGCGTTCGAAAGTTTCTCACAACGATCAGCAACGATTCGATAGTTAGCAGCGCACATACAAACACCAAATCTGCAGTGACTTCCGTTCGCACATTTCTGACCCATTTGACAGGTTTTACCTGGCATCGCAATCGTAGCAACGCAACGTGAATCTTCGATGCGATATCCATCTGGACACCGGCAAATGGCCAATTCACAGACTGAATCACCCGCACACGTCTCGCCATTTGCACATCGTCCACCCGGCCGCTGACGACAACGACCGAAAGCTTCAACAGATCCGTCAGTACATGAACAGATCGACGTCAAGCATACTGCTCCACCCATGCATCGATCCTCACCGCTACACTGACTATTGATCGGNNTGCACTGAGCTCAAAACAAGCCTCATAACCACTTACCTTCCACTCTGATCCACTGGGACATTGACATATTGATCTCAGACAGATCATTCCTTTCCCACACATATCCATAGAGTTACACGGTGCTCCTAAACTAAACGTACGCACGTCTGATCTAGGCGCTATCGTGAACTTTTTGGATTGAGCACATCCGCTTGGACTTATACATCTACAAAATCCATTGATACAACGTGCATCTGTTGCACATTTAGTGGAGGCGTTCAAATTGCTATCGCATTTGGCATTCAGCGGTAAAACTTTACTTTGACATTCGCCATTCACTTTCACATATCCATCAATACAGTGACACACGTCCTCCAAACAAACACCCTTGCCATTTGCACAACTCTGCTGATCAGGCCAGCATTGCATTGAATTCCTTTGGTCGAGTTTATCGTTTGCCGATAACACCGATCTTTTATGCAATCGCAACTTGAACGATTCATTTTCACTGATAAAATCCATTAGTTCACTTGATTTGGGCTTTATACACAATGCTCCAGCACGAACCAAGCCTGATGCACAATCGCATTTTCCGTAAAAACATTTCATTTGTGACGGACATTCACTGGAACTTTTGCATCTTTGCTGCAACTGTTGTCGAGGTGGAAG